GGAGGGGGAAGGGGGGGTGGCGACGCGGCAAAACGCCCGCACCGCCCTCCGCGCCGCGCGGGAAATCCTCGGCGACGGGGCCGCCCCCTTCGACGCGCGCGCGGCCGTCCTCAGCCTGCAGTGGGAGTGGCGCCGGGTGGTGGAGAAACTCGCGGTGGCGGAGCGCGCGGCGTGGGGGCCGCGCCCGCCGACGGAGGCCCCACGGGACGGCTGGATCGCCACCCTGCAGGGCGTCGTGCAGCAGATTTGGTCGACCCCGCCCTTGACGGCGGTGGTGGAGAAGCACCCGCAAAGCCGGCATAGCGACTGGCGGGGTCGGAAGGAGACGAAACACAACTCCGCCACGCAGCCGGCGCTGACCGCGGAGATGCTCGGGATTCTCGAGATCGCCGCGGGCGCCGTGCAGGCGGCGCTGCATCGCTTGGAGTTTGACACCTTATCGAACACCTTTTGCCTCCTCGCGCTGTTCCTCGCGGCGTGGGGGTCCTTTCGCGCGGCGGCCTCCGCGGTGGAGCTCGCGATCGGGGCGAAGAACGCCCATCGCGTGCTTCAACTCCACACGGTGGTGCTGTTGGAGTCGGATTCGGTGGAGGGGCGGTTGTGGAATACCTTTCGGCGGGCTTTACACACCCACGACGGCGTCGCGATCGGCTCTCGGGATTTCGCGCAGCTTCGCGAGGACCTCCTCGCGAGCTCGACGCTGCTTTCGAACTGCCTGCCGCCGGAGGGGGTGGTGCGAGGGGTCTTGCAGGAGGCTGGGGCCCTCGTCGAGCCCGCCGCCGAGGCGATCCCGGATGCGGTTTGCCTCACCCTCCTCTTCGCGGAGGAGGGCCACGGGGTCGATTACGGGATTCCCTCCGCGCGGACGATGGGGTGGGTGGTGCTTCGCCACCCCGATGGCGGCGTGGATGCGCGGGTGCGCTACGTCGACGCGGCGCGCTTCACCGCCCTCGCGGCGGAGTTCCAACGCCTCAAGGAATCCACCCGATCCGCGATCGCCGCGAAGGGGAATGGAAAAAATCCCCCTCCCCCTCCTCCGCCGCCTCCTCCTCCCCGGTCTTCCACCTCCACGACGACGTCGAAAGAAGGGGGGCCCCCTTCTTTCGGGCTTGCCGATTTCCTCGCCCGTGTGGAGGCCGCGGTGGGGCCGTTGGTGGAGGAGTTCGAGCCCAGCCTCGTCGCGTTGGGGGCGAAACACCCGCTCTACCTCTGCTTGGATCCCCTCCTGCAGGGCCTCCCGATCGAGCACGTCGGCGTCTTCGCGAGGCTCCCGAGCGTCTCGCGGGAGTTCAGCCCCGCCGCCGGGGTCCGGCGAGGGGCGCAGAAACCGGTGAAACCCCCCGTCCCCGCCACCCTGCAGGTCCTCGACGCCTTCGCGGATCACCCGGGCTCCGTCGGGTTCCTCACCGGCCCCGACCACCCCCCGGCGCGGCCGCAGATGGAGGTCTTAAGCAGCACCCAAGACCGCTACCCGATCCCGCCCGGGGTGTTAAAAGGCAAACTCCAACACACCCCTTTTCACGCGATCGTCTTTGATGGGTGTGGGGGATTTCCCGCCGTTTTCACCCCGGCGGTCCTCGCCACCGCGCAGCTGCGGCAGCTGCAGGCGATGGTGATCGTCGGCGACGGCGTCACCGCCTCCTCGCAGCGGCGGGCGCAGCGATCCCAACCCTCGACGGCCTCCCCTTTTCCCCCTCCCCTTCCCCTTTCTTGGGGGGCGCGGGTGTGGGGAGGGGTGGAGATGTGGGAGATGGCGTTGTTTTTGCTCGCGAGTGGGGTCCGGTATCTGGCGACGACCTGGTTTCCCGCCTCGCCGGAGGAGAATGATGGGTTGTGTAAAAAAGTGGCCGGCCCCCTCCTCACCGGGCGCGGCGCCGTCGGGGAGATCCCCGTCGGAAACAAAACCCACAAGGAGCCGAAGCGGGAATTTAGAATCCTGCAATACGGTGGAAGGGGGACGTTCACGCGGGGGCGATAGCTAGATTTGGATATGTAGAAAAAAAAACAAAAAAGAAAAAGGAGTGGCCAGCATGGGTATGCATGTGGGATAGATCGCTAGAGAGGCCATGCTGCGAGGACCGTGGTTGGTTTCTTGCTTTTTTTCGGTTTAGCCCTCCTCATTTTGGATGTAAATGCAATTACATATAGTGGGAAGATTATACTCTCCCGCTCCTCCTCCATACAACAACAAAAAAAAAATAATGAAAATTGTATGCTTAATTAACGCTACAAACATATAAAATATTCCGCGTTTCTATTTGCGACATTGTTGACTGCGTGCCTTATTTCTTGCCTATCACCACTCTTTTTTTCTCTACACAAATCCATCCACCAAAGGACGGTTTCACTACCGTTTTTTTATCGCCGTGGAATTTAGTACTGCGATTACTCGCGACCTTTCAGACAAACCGATTATCGCTATTGTTCAACCAATCCCGCGAAATGAAGAATTTTATGCGTGGGGTTTTAGAATGCACCCCCCTCAAGGCGCTTAATGAGTTCAAGGTTTCCGGCCAAGCGGTTCCCTTGCTTTACAATCACTCGTCGTTTCGGACGCACCTCGACAATCGGGCGTCGATTAAAGTGCTCGCGGTGCATGACTTCCTCGGGAGTTCGAACTTCTGGCAGAACGCCTTCCACAAAACCATCACCACGCTTCCCCTCTCCACCTTGATGATTAAGGAGCCGCTGGAGGTGTATTCGGTCGATCTTCGCGGTCATAACGCCTCGGAGAAGTTGATGTCGAATTCCGACGAGGAGAACTACCTCTCGTTGTGCGCCGAGGATGTGATTCGTCTGCAGCGCGAGGTCGTGGTGTGCGCGGCGAGAGGGCTAGGGGTGGGGTTCGGCGCGATGGTTGCCTCGCTCGCCGCGCTTCACGCTCCGGATTCCTTTCATTCCCTCACGCTTCTCGTGGAGAACTTCGCGCAACTCTTTCGCTGCGATCCCAACGCGTACGTGTTTCGCGAAGTCCTCCAAGGCGCCCCGTCGGATGCGAAGAATATTTCCGATATGCACGCGTTTCTGAAGACGAAGCTTCCGCACCCGCTCGATCGAGAGGTTCTTTTGGGATTTGTGAAGGAAAGCCGCGGTGGGGCGCGGTTTCGCTTCCACGAGCGGCTGCTTAAAATGGAAAACGCAATCCAGATGCCGATTGAGCGATTGGATAATCTGCAATACCACGGGGCAGTAAAGGTGATTATCTACGGCGGGCCCGATCCTTCCAAGGAGGAGGTGGAGGCCTTTAAATACCGCTTTCCAAACGCCACCTTTCACTGCTCCGAGAGGGCCGACCGCGGTTTTTTTGATAGCGTTCACATTGGTAAGATTTTCCTCAACGCGCTCGATATCGTCGGCTCGATGGAAATCCCTGAGGAGGCGGAAGGGGAGTGATGGATTTCAAAGGGTGAGGGAGCCCAACGATGAGGACGAGGGGTGGTTGTCGAGAGGTTGACGTGTTCTTTATGCGTTTCCGGTTTGCTCTTTTTTCGACCCTGTGATAATCGCCCAAGATAAAACTAATAAGTCATGGATAAACCTTTGCTCGCTTTGAATTGAATGATCGGAGTTTTTTAGTTTTCCGATAACATGCAGGGGCCGCGTGTGTCTTTCCTCGGGAGAATCATGCATCGGGCAGCGATCAACCGTGGCTTTGTCTTTCCCATCGCTTTTTATTCCTATTCTTCTTTTCCTTCGAAGCATAGCATATAGATTATTTTCCTTTAAGCTTTGGTTACCCTTTACGGTTCGTGCTGTGGTGGTGGTTGCTTATTTCCACCACAAATTATTTCAGGTCTTCTATTCTCTCCGGTTGCCGGTCTCTCTTGTTTTTTGTGGTTGGTGGTGTTTGTTCCCCCCCCACACACACACACCCCTCTTGTCGTGTGTTGATTGCCGCAAGCGGGTGAGGCATTTTTTTTCTTCTTTTTTTTTTCTTTTTTTTGAGGGGGGTTTGTTTTTCCAATCCCACATCTCGTCCCGGATGCGTCTTTCGTGTTCGATCGGGGTGCTCGGCCTCCTTCTGGTGATTCTCGTCGTGGGGTCCCCCCCGGCGGTGGCGATCCACGCCGATGAGCAGGGCCGAAAGGATTGGGTGCGGCGCTTCCTTGGGGAGGTCCGCCACGCCGCGGTGCCCGCGGTCGACGACCCCCCGCTTCTCTTCGTCGCCTCCGCCGAGGGCGCGGTGGGGGCCCTCGCGACCGCGCGAAAAGGGGAAACGACCCGCCCTGAACCCCACCCCGACCCCGCCCGCGCGGATCGCAAGCGCGAGGCATCCGAGATCGAACCCGAAACCGACCCCGACGACGACGCCCTCGTGTGGCGGGCGATGCTCCCACACCCCGCCGCCTGCCTCGCCGCCACGCGCGCGGTCGTCCTCGCCGTCAGCCTCCATGGCGAGGGCGTCGTCCTGAACGCGCGGACGGGCGCGGTGGAGATGATCTTCACCTTCGACCGCCCTGAGGGGTTTGGCGCGTTCCGCCACGCGGCCTGTCGAATCCAGCGGGGC